GGGGAATTTCTGTATTGACACTGATACGTTCCAGATTTCAGCTTTCCGAGAGTTCCTGGCGTTCTTCGTACAGCCAGATGTCTATGAAGCGGATCTCCTCCCAAACCCTTACAGCGTTCCTCTTCGACTTGAAGACTTGTTACATTGGAAAGAGAAGGGCGTGCAGCCCCTAGATGAACAGCAATATGGCGTTTGTCCAGTGCAAGCAACCGAGCGCGCACATAGGAGGATCGTCGACAACTTTTGCAGTGTACTTGCTACGCTCAATTACTCCTACCAAAAAAACCAGACTTATGAGACTTGGGTCGCATACCTTCGTTGGAAGAAATATGTTGTTATGCCTATCCCACCTGATTTCTGTAAAGGGGCTATGGCTTTGCTCGCACGTCACCGCAGCAACATAGAAACATCACATGAAGAATCCTTTCCCCAGTTGCGAAAGAGCCTGGAAGAATGGGGCCTTTATCAACCGTACCACCGCCCTGTGTTACTTATGCCAGCTCTGATGGACTATATGTCTCTATTTGGCAAGGCTCTTCCCGATCTGATGAGCGAGAACGATGAGGTCATCTCTACCATTGCGTCTCATTTCGAATCCTTTATAGTATGTTTGTTTCCCCGTCCCTGTCTCCAGATACTAAAGCTGACAGAAATCGAATTTTGAAACGCCAAATGTGCCCAAAGTCCGAGATGGCCGTGGTGACAAGCTGCACATATTCAAAGCGACTGCGTCTTTTGGATGGCGTGAAAGGCTGATGGTAGAGGGCGCATTAGCTTTCATTCGGTTTTACTCAAGAATGACGCAGTCTCACACCCTGTTTGATCGGCCCTCACTCCAAGAAGACCCCGATGATGCAATCGTAATCGAAGACTCATCGGACGACGACCATAGAATATGTACATAACATTAGAGCTTCCTTTCCACTGTGAGCTGGGCCATACCTGGCAGATCTAGCGCACCCTAGGGAGGTGGTAATTTTGGTAGGCGTCAATAACATTGATCAATTATTTAGATACTATTGTATTTCTAATGTCGTCTGTCATTTCCCTGAGTCTTTAACATACTTATGTATCCTAGTTCTAATCACACCACCTTGCTTGTGACCGTCTGGGAGCTTCTTGTAGACCTCGTTGAATTTTTCGAGAGGCATGGGTGGAAGCCCGCAGGCCCCTACCAGGCAGAGGAAGTTGTAATATCGAACGACTCTGCTGCAAATTTCCTTGCCTCTCTTCGCATTGTTGAGACACCCTTTTCCCCTGTAAGTGCTTTGTGTGGATCTTCTTGTATCTGGAATGCCATGTCCCAGATCCGCAGGCATTTGAATACCTTCACCGAAAATGTATGATCAGTCTCGTTTTGTGGTGGTGCCGCGATGCTGCGGACACATGCTAGGATGTCGAGGTGTTCTTGTAGCTTCGAATAGTATTCCGATGAATGATCAGTTGCTAGCACTATTTCACGAGCGAACTCTATTAATGTCGGATTACGCTGAACAAGTTCTCCGAAAAGTTCCGCGGGCAGAAATTGGGCTGGATCCATGTTCCCTGTTGATCGATGGGAGGGCGATGCGAGGCGGCAGGCAGCGGACATATTTGACTTGTCAGTAGCATAGCGCCAAACCGAAATAGGTCACATTACACCCCTGGACCGATGCGAGGTGTGCATCGGGGTGAGCTCCACAGCTGTCATGCATGGACGCCTCCTTCCACATAAGAGCGTGCATCGACCCCTTAGGTATCGCGCATCTGTACTCTCATTCTCGACATGTATCCCACCAATGTTGCCGTTATCATCTGTTCTGCCATCGTCGGACTCATCCGTTTTGCAATGGTTGTGAAAAACTACCGTGGATTCGAACACGCCGATCGGACGACGAGCCTATGGTCCGATCCAATCTTCCTCTCACGACTTTCGGAAGCTATTCCCTTCCTCCTCTGCATCTTATCCATCGCCTTCGCATCGTGCGGTCTCACTCAATATGGGCTGAGTGCGCAATGGGCTATCTTTAGTACCCTCTCTATCTTCGATTTGGTAAGAAGTCCTTACACGATGATGAAGACATGTTTAACGTATGCGTCTAGTTAGGTGCAAAGCAATGGTTCTATCCACTACCAGGCCTCGGACGCTGGCAGAAGGCGGGTATATGGACTGTGGTGCTCCTCAGCCTCGCTGGAATAGGGATAGCGGCAGGTCTCCCAACGATATATACACCGTTCGTTATGTCTCTTGTCTTTGGTATGGTATACGCATACATTACTAAAGGCTCTACCCGGTGGGGTCCATATCTGGCCTTCACTCTGCTTCTATTCGGGGCTGCTATAGCACTTGGAGCTTCAGTTTTCAAGTTCAAGATGTCACAGCTCTCAGATTATTCGTTTCTAGTAAGACATCTAGATACTATCCGCAATTTCCTCTAACACTATTAGTTGCTAAACCTACTACATCCGCGAACTGTACATGGATCTGTCTCCTGGTGGAAGAGCCCCTCGAAGCTCAAGCTCAGCTCCACCTCTAACTCGACCTCCAACCTGAATGAGGTCATCCCCCGATCCCTCTCCACACCCGCAAACACTCCACCTACCTACCACGACGCCTTATGGGTAACACATATATACCACGGTTTTCTTAGTGAGCCACAGAAATCGCCATATCACCACCGTGGTGAGAAAGGGAAAGGATTTGTGTCGGAGGATGTCTAGCAAGGAGGACCAGGGTGAGGTGTATCTGGCAGAGTCGTTGGAAGATCCAAAAGCGAAATCGTTACAAGGCCCTCCGCTAATTCACCAAAGTTGACATATATGTCCCACTCATTATCTCCCGATACCCTCAATTGGTAACCACGTTCAAGGTTCGAAAAGATATTCCGTGCCCCTGTCAAAGTGCCAGTATATACCCCCCGTTGGGTCTTGATCGTGACTTTGCTGCAAAGGTATGTGACAAGCTCAAGGCTCCGGAATATTTGCACACAGTGCGCCTTCGTGATGGGAGTGGTCCTGATTCGTTCGGAAGCTAGCTGCTGAAGTCGAGGAAGAGTCGTCTTCGCAACGAATCGAGACAATTCATCGCTGCTGTAATTCAGCGTCCTACTGATAGAGCCTGCGAGATGCAAGAGTTCAACGTTTCCCATCAAACAGTCTACGTCATTGAACATATCCATGAACGTAATAGGAACGTTGACTGTTCCATTCTCGTGGAGTTGAATACCCTTGCCAGACATTATGTTGGCGATGTCATTCTGGAATCGTCTCGTAATTTGTACTGCTTCCATTGCAGTTAGAGGGGATCTTGGCTGGGGTGAAGAAGTAGATCTCGGCTGAGGAGCAGATGTTGGTTGGGGTATAGGCGTAGATGTCGGCCAGGGCGCAGGTTCAGGCATAATAGCCTGTGATAAAGTTTACTTATTGTCTTAAGGGTGAAGAGACTCAGGAAGTTGAGAATTTAGAGGCAGACAAGAAGGAGAGCCAACATTTATAACATAGATAGGATACACAGAAGGACTCGTCTGCCTCGTTCCTTCCATTCGCCTCGTTTGCCTGATTTTCCAAGGTGCTTGGATGCCTTCTATCGCCTAGACTACGTGCTCTGCTTATTCCGTCCAGCATTAGTTAGCGGGAGCCAGATAGGCTGGGTTCACAGCAAGGTCAAGGGAGGCGGTAATTTCAGCATCACGAAGGCAACGTCATACAGCGTGTGCAACTTCCCCTGGGGTGTATGATTTGTACAGCAGTGACGGTGCTTCTTGACACAGTGTTTACTTGTTTTTGTCTTCCGCATGATGCTGTCTCTTGTAGCGAGGGTGCAAACGTCCTTTCTCTACACGAAACATGTTGCTTCTTTCGGATTCGCCGTACGCCTCGCATGGGTGCGCAGCTCACAGATCCCGGATGCGATAGTCTGTGCACATGGGCACCCGCACACCCACAGATACACTCGATTTACTCACGTAGAAGCCAAGTCCCAGAGAGTACGACAAGAACATCCAGGCAAACGCGAGCTCGCATAGAATTGTTATGAAGTTAATGACCTCTTGAAAACTGCGCCCAGCAATCTAACACTCATCAGCCCAGCACCCACCTCCCGCTCGCGATCAGCGTCCCACCCTCGTCGCAAGGGTCCCACTCTTGCATTGAACTAGCTAGATCCAGCTACTGGAGCTGTAGCCGCTGAATCTTTTGGTTTATTATTGGCTGCATATAATCTGTCAGACATCATTGAGCCGTGTGGAGCTGCCGTGACACCTACAAGTCATTCGATACTGGATAGCGCGCGCCATTCGCCAACTGAACACGTCGTATTGCACCTCCGGAATTTGCTCGTCTCGGAGTCGAGCATTGACACGAGCAAAGATGGTAGCTAGGACGTCGCCAGGCACTGTTGGCCAGCTTATATCTGGATTTGCTTCTACAAGCGTATTAATCTCTGCCTTTGTTATGTTCTATTATGTCCTGTCAGTCTGCCTCAGGTGAGTGTCGATGTATAGCCGTACATAAAATCTGTCCCACTGGAGCTTGTCATGTCCCGCTCGCATTTGCGCCTCGTGTGTCTTAGCGCCCTTCTTGAGCTCAAATTCCAACATCGCTTATGCGTAGCAGGCAAGCTGACGTCTGTTCAGGTTGTCCAGGTTGTCCAGGTTGTCCAGGTTGGCAGGGGTGCGGGGTTCGCGTGGTGTCAGATTTGACTGCAGGGGCGGGCTCACTCGTCACATCCGAAGCCCGTGCACACGCGGCATAATCTCAGGCATAGTCCGGTCACAGAAGGAACGTGCCCGAGCCTCTCCGAAACGGACCCACCTCTGCAACATTCCCACGCAGCGCCACCCGCGCCTAGGATTCTCTCCATGGTCTTTTCTTGCTAATCACCGAGGCTCAGCATCCGTAGTACCAAGTAGATCGTCCTTCCCACGGTGAGCAAACAGAAATAACATTGATCAACTATCTAGGTACTATTATACATTAAACTTTGTTCGTTCCGAGTTTGCAAAGCACTATAGCTCTACATCTCAGGCGGCGTCCTCGCCGTCATCAGATTTGTGCTCGGTATCGATATCCATCTCCTCGTCCTGCTTCTTCTTCCCCTTATCGTGCCGCTTTTTCGTCTCCACATTGTGCTGCATTTCCATTCCCTCATCCTTCGGGAACAACCATGGGTAGGCTTCAAAATCCTCCGATGTCAAAGGTGACTTTGTCTTGGGATTCTTTTTTTGTGCCTTGCACGCCTCAAACAACAGCTGTCTCTTATAGTATTCTGGAACGAGCCGGTTGAAGTATTTGTTGTCAGCCCAATTTCTTCTGCCACAGAGCTGGTAAAATTCACTTCTGGTTAGCCAGTCAGTCTCGTCGATCTTCATATACTTGACCCGGATGTATGTATCCGGCTGACGCTCCTTTACGCCGGTGCGGCGCTGGTAGCTCTCCGCGCGTGGCATGACGACACAAGGACCGATTTTTACATTCTCGAGGTCTTCAAAGTCTTTCTTTCTTTCCTTGAGATTGAAATTCATCTCTTTGTCTTGCGGCATACCTGCAGCAGCTCCGGGGCCAAGGTCACTACCTTTGACAACCTTGAAGTACTCACAATTTTCGTCGTCATCCAGACCAGCGTTGATGATGAAACGATGGAATCTCGGGTTACCGGAAACAGAGGGGCGAACTGCTACCACGGGTCCGTCTTCTGTCATACCATCCTTGTATACAAAAGGCTTGATGCAATTTTCGCTTAGCGAGATCGAGTTTATGTCCACATCAAGAAGATTCGTTGACTCAACAAGAGATTTTGGAATACTGGGGGCAGGACGGGGGGCAGGACTGGGGGTAGGATCAGTAATATCACCAGGTCCGTCGGATATCTCAGAATCGAGCACCTCTTCAGGTCGTTCTTCCGTATCGATGGCAGCCAGAGTGGCTTCTGCGGGCTTTAGAATCGCAAGTTGCTCCCGCAATTTCTCAATCTGTTTTTGCACCCCGTCTGTGTTCCCGTTCTTATATTGGTCGATCATCTCCATTATGATCCCCTCGGGTAAACAGTTGACGTCTTTACCGATGCCGTTGACCTCATTGGACTCCTTTAAATTCATGTTATGTGTCTTGATCGTGTCCAGGCAAGTTTGTAGTCGATCATCCAATTCCATAGAATCATCTTGCAGCATATGAACAAGATCATATACGGCGGGGGATGCTTGTTCCCATGCATCATTCTGCTGCCATGTTGGGTGCTCGATCTGGGTTCTTAACTTCTCATAGAGCTCTTGGTACTGACCTGACGAATCCTTAAACCCGAGGAACCTCTTTTTTGCTTCTCCAGTCATGATGTCGGTTACCGCAATGCCGAAATCCCTCTGCGTCTCTTCCATGAAGACTATAACCCCTTGAAGGAATCTTTCTACCTTTCGATGGTTAGGCTGCTTATTTCGACTGACCTCGGAGAGCCCTTTATTGAGCTGACAGATGGAGTTGAAGAGTCGCTCTGCGGGGAATTTATACTTGTTCATCATCTCCTGTTTGGTGAGTATCTCTAGTCCGAGCTCGATTTTGAATTTCTTCGAAATTTTCTCCAGCTCGTTATCAATATCATCTTCCGAAGCGTTGGGATTTCGAGTCTTAATAGCCCGCTTCTCGCGTGCTTGCTTCTTAGGCCACTCTTGGTAGTACTTTGTCGCGGCTTCCCTCTGTTTAGGTGCCGATACGATGCGTTCGACGTGCTTGCCAATCTTCTCGTTGGCTTTATTGATTGTCTTTTGCTGGGTTGGAGGTATGGTTTTTGAAGTCTTTAGCCACCATTGTTTCACAACCCAATAATGACTCTGCCAAATTTTCTGTATTTCTGCCGGGAGTGGAGAGGGCGGTTCGCGTGCCTTGCGGGCCTCAGCATATCCGCGTGTTCCTTCATTCTCAATTCGTGCCTTCAATTGTTGATCCTTTTCATCTCGGCGTGCCTTTGTCTTAGCTCTATGCTCCTTCATTGCTTCAGGGTCTTCGTAGAGCTTCGCCTTCCTGGTTCGTTTTTCTTTCCTCTTCGTCTCGGCTACCGATATGTCCTCGTTGGGGTCAGCTTCGGAATCAGAGTCTCCCGAGCTTATAAAGTTATCAGTCTCATCTTCTGATTGATGAGAAGCACGATCATCTTCAGAGTCCGCTTCTTGCTGAACAAGGTTGTCGCTTCGTGTTCCCTCGATGTTGTCGGGCTCGTTTTCTACCGTCGCATCGGTTGCTTCGGCCTGAGCTATAGACTTTTCATTCTTCCTCGTGGATGTTTTGGTGTTATTCTTTGCACGCAATTCGCCTTGGCGTGAAGATTCAGCTGGATAGGCAACTTGCGTGGCCATGGTGTAAGCTTCTTGTGTTGGTCCTGACGCGTGTTACAATGTGTAGTAGTGGATGTTGAGACCTGCTCAACGTTGGGTATTGGTTTCTGCTGCATCAGTAGCCGGCACGCGAGTGAGCTTTATAGAAACACAGTTCCAGAATGTTTTGCGTTGTGCTGTAATCGAGACACAGAAGCCAGTAACCGAATGGGGCTGCTTGGCACCTAATACTGGCGTAGGAAAACCGTATTGTACCTCCTTGATCCGCAACCCGCTTCCCAGTCACACTGTTCCCAGACACCCGCATCCGAGCACGCAAGGGTGCGCTGCTTAAAAAGAGACTTGGGCCGTCCAAAAACCATACAGAGAAAATGGCTAAGCTTCACTTTCTACTAGCGTATTTTAGCACCGTTGTGCTGGCTGCCACAACGTGCGTTACCCCGCCCTCCCTACAGGTGACCTCAAAGCGAGATTTAGCCGCATCGCACGCGACTGCGACAGCTAGTTCTCCGACATTACGTGGACCTTGGAACACTACTTCGCTTCGAGGCTGGAATGCGACACACGTCACGCAGTCTAAGGGTACTGCATCTGCGTCCCGACCTACAACTACCGTCAATGTCGGCGAAGCAGGGGAGCTCGTCTTCTCGCCGTCGTCGCTGAATGCCTCTGCTGGGTCGGTCATCGCGTTCAATTTTCTGGCACTGAACCATACATTGACTGAGAGTGACCTCTGGGATCCATGCCACAGCAATCAGAGATTTGACACTGGATTTCACCAGTACAATCCGGCTAACGTGAGCGGGAAATTCGTAGTCGAGATTGAGGTCACCAGTCAGGAAGCAAAATGGTTCTTCTGCGCGCAAACAGCAAAGCGCTCTCATTGTCGGGCGGGGATGGTCTTCAGTTTAAATCCACATGGAGCGCATGCTGAATTTCTGCACAACGCCTTAGCAGGCGTTGGAACCACAGCAGCGCCGACTAACAGTATGTGTGAGCTGCCCTCGGTTCATCTGACATCAAGCAAAGCAAACACGATTATGGCCCCTACTAGCACGTCGTCCGCGAACTCCAGGAATAAGGTGCGTCCCTAAGTGAGGAGACACACTATGTCGCGAGACAGATTGGCGATTCGGAGCTTCGGCGTCTCCCATCTGCGGGCTTGTAAATCTGCTGTTAGTCTACTATAATTGTAAGGCTGTTGCTCTTTAAGCACGTTAGCGTCCGACATAAATTGCTCCTACGTTGGCCGTGCTATCGATCGTTTCGTTGCCGTCGTCAATCAGCTTAACAGCGACACCCCCCTGTCTATCAATAACATTAAGGACCACTTGAGCGCTTGGTGGGCTGTGCAAAGAGCGCGACGTAGGAAGATCAACTTCCCACGCTCGTGAGATCGCTCCGATGTAAGAGAGAGCATGCCGACAGCCCCGTTGTGCGAAGCAGGAGATTTCTCAAAACGAGCCCGAGCTGGCGGGATACGCTAACATCGCTTAGCATGCATAGGCCTACATTAGCGTTCTTATCGCCTGCTGTAACTTATCGTAAAGAATACAGCGCTATGCTAGTTGCGTATGCGTCTCAAAACAGGCGTGGCGGATGTGCATGAGGGTGCCCTGGCCTCTGCTTTAGGTTAAGGTTGCGATTAGGTAAGCGATAGCTGCGTGAACATGGTTTTTAGCATAATGTACATCTATAGTATTTCGTTGTCCGCGTTAGAGTTGCTTGCTGGCGTTAGACAAATGCGTTGCTTAAGATGTTCTGGATTGTTGACGTTATCGTCGTTGCGCTGCGTTCTAAGCCCTACGATAGCTAGCGGCGCAGATTCCTTGTGGCTAAATAGTGTGTCCTTGCACGAACCAGCACGCGCTGCACATACATCCTAACATCCTCTTACTGTAAACGACGGTCCATAACTCGCGCTTTCTGCACCGTTAGGTCGCGTTCACAAGCAAGAACTGCTTCTCGGCTTGCAACACGGTGGCTGTCACGCGATCATGCATTGCTAGCCTTGTCCAGCCAGCCTCACGTCACGGCGCAGGCGGGCTGTGCCTCCTCTCCTGGGTGCTGGAGATGCAGCCTGCCCCAACAAGACAGTCTACCTCACCTCTACCTTAGCAAATCGTTACTTAGCATTCGAAGCGACCCGATAGCTACGATCTCCACGCCCTACGCGAGCCAGCCGCCGTGCGCCGTCGATTCCGTCAGCCTGCTTCGAGGCTCCAAGACTTCCTCCCACTACTCGCGCACACGGACAAACACACAGCCCGATGCGACTGCTATACACTACACGCGATGGGAGACTCGGGTGGACTGAGGACCTGATCGGACACAAGATTCCCCCATATGCGATCCTGTCGCACACCTGGAAGGACAGGCAGGAAGTGACATTTGCCGACCTAAAAGATCTAGACATCGCAGTAGACGTCAACACACAACACAAGGAAGGGTATCGGAAGATTCGCTTCTGCGCACAACAGGCTAAACGGGACGGTCTGGACTACTTCTGGGTTGACACCTGCTGCATCGACAAGGCAAACAACACGGAATTGTCGAGAGCGATTAACTCCATGTTCCGATGGTACCAGAATGCCGAAAGATGTTATGTCTTCCTTTCGGACGTCGCGAACGACACTTCAGAAATCGATAGCAAGTCGGCGTTGAAGCAGAGCAGGTGGTTTAAGCGGGGCTGGACGCTTCAGGAGCTTCTTGCTCCTCGCTCTGTTGAGTTCTTCTCTAAAGAGGGAGAGCGGCTAGGGGACAAGGAGTCGCTTCAGCACCTTATACACGAGGTTACAGGTATACCTATCGAAGCTCTGTCCGGAAGCGACTTGTCCGAGTTCGACGTTGCCAAGCGTTTCTCGTGGGCAGCGAATCGACAGACAACAGAGGAAGAAGATGGAGCGTATTGTCTGTTCGGCATATTTGGCGTCCACCTACCGCTAATCTATGGCGAAGGCAAAGACAACGCCCTTGAACGGCTGAGAAGCGCGGCTGTTCTGAAACATAAGGGCCGTAGTCAAGACCAAGAAGAGAAGCTTGGCAAGATACGCAGCTGGCTTTCGGCGCCTGACCCATCTACCAACTACCACAAAGCGCATAAGCAGCGGCAGGCTGAGACCGGAGTCTGGTTGGTAGAGGGTGAGCAGTTCGCGAGATGGAAAGAGCGTGCAGCATCGCGACTGTGGCTGTACGGGATCCCAGGATGTGGAAAGACGATCCTAAGCTCTACTATTGTCGAGCATTTGGTGCAGTACTGCCATGATGACACTAACATGGTGACGGCATACTTCTACTTCGACTTCAATGACACACAGAAACAGGATCCAGAGCTTATGCTGCGCTCGCTGCTCTGCCAGCTCGTGCAGCGTTCGGTCGTGATACCCAAAGGCGTTGACGCGTTGCTCTCATCTTGCGAGAACGGGCAACGGAAGCCATCATCGCATGCGCTTTTACAAGTAACAAAGGAAGCGGCGCAAGAATTCACCCATGTGTACGTTGTTCTCGATGCTCTAGATGAGTGTGCGCAGCGCTCGGAGCTGATGGACATGCTCGAAGCAGTGGCTGAGTGGCAGCTTGACAACCTGCATCTGCTCATGACTAGCCGGAAAGAGCGGGATATCGAGCGCTCCTTGGAGGAATACATTAGGGAGGAGGACGCTGTGTGTCTTCAAAGGGACGTGGTGGACCAAGACATACAGCGATACGTCCAACAAAGGCTGCATGACGACAAGGGCTTGGCGAAATGGAACAAGGATGCCGCTGTCAGGCAGGAGATTGAGGCCGCGCTAATGGGCGGAGCTTGCGGGATGTAAGTGTTTTGATTCAGTTCTCTGCTGAGCTAGAGCTGACGATAGCGTAGGTTCCGATGGGCTGTGTGTCAGCTAGACACACTAGGAAAGTGCTGCAATCGAGCGATGCTGCGCAAATCTCTTGCCACTTTGCCGCGGACGCTAGACCAGACATACGACCGCATTCTTACCTCGATAGGCGAAGAATATCTCGAGTATGCCATGCGTATCCTACAGTGGCTGGCGTTCTCTGCGCGGCCGCTGTCCGTCGAAGAGGTCGCCGAAGTCGTCGCCATCGACGTGGCGCGGGACCCAGCGTTCGACCGTGATGAGGTGCTAGAAGACCCGCTAGAAGCGCTAAACATCTGCTCTAGTCTAGTCACTATCACAACGAACGAAGTGGACAGAAGACCAGGGTCTGCTCAACGGATCGTTGCTCTGGCACACTACTCAGTGCAGGAGTACCTTGTGTCAGATAGAATCAGGCAAGGGTCAGCAAAGCAGTACAGCATGCAAGAGGCCGAATGCCAGAGTGCAATAACGAGAGGTTGTTTAAAGTACCTAATGCAGCTCCCGCAACTATTAGAAAGAAAGATACTTCAGGGGTTTGCACTTGCAAGGTACTCAGCAGAGTTCTGGAGCAGCCATCTACGAAAGACAGGGGATAGGGGAGAGCAAGCCAGTCAGCTAGCGGCGTGTTTAATGGCCAAAGAAAAGCCAGCATATCTCACCTGGATCCGGTTGCATGATCCAGACAGCGCTTGGGAGGGGCCTAATTTCGAGAAAAGTCTTGATAGTATGCCTATGCCGCTTTACTACGCAGCAATGTTGGGGTTTAGCATAATTACAGGACTGCTGCTCGATAAGGGCGCCGAAGTCAACGCGCAGGGCGGACACTACGGCAACGCACTGCAGGCAGCTTCTATTGGGGGCTACGAGCAGGTAGTCAAGACGTTGCTTGACAAGGGCGCCGAGGTCAACGCGCAGGGTGGAGAACACGGCAATGCACTGCAAGCAGCTTCAGTTGGGGGCTACGAGCAGATAGTCAGAACGTTGCTCAATGCGGGCGCCGAGGTCAACGCGCAGAGTGGAGACTACAGCAACGCACTATATGCAGCCTCAGAAGTAGGCCACGAGCAGGTAGTCAAGGCGCTGCTTGATGCTGGCGCCGAGGTCAACGCGCAGGGTGGAGACTACGGCAACGCACTGCAGGCAGCTTCTATTGGGAGCTACGAGCAGATAGTCAGAACGTTGCTTAATGCGGGCGCCGAGGTCAACGCGCAGGGTGGAGACTACGGGAACGCACTGCAAGCAGCTTCTATTGGGGGCTACGAGCAGATAGTTAGAACGTTGCTCGACGCGGGCGCCGAGGTCAACGCGCAGGGTGGAGAATACGGCAATGCACTACAGGCAGCTTTAGCTAGAGGCCACGAGCAGACAGTCAAGACGCTGCTTAATGCGGGCGCCGAGGTCAACGCGCAGGGTGGAGACTACGGCAATGCACTGCAAGCAGCTTCAGCTAGAGGCCACGAGCAGATAGTCAGAACGTTGCTCAATGCGGGCGCCGAGGTCAACGCGCAGAGTGGACGCTACAGCAGCGCACTGCAAGCAGCTTCAGCTAGAGGCCACGAGCAGACAATCAAGATGCTGCTCGACGCGGGCGCCGAGGTCAACGCGCAGGGTGGAGACTACGGCAATGCACTGCAAGCAGCTTCAGCTAGAGGCCACGAGCAGATAGTCAGAACGTTGCTCGACGCGGGCGCCGAGGTCAACGCGCAGGGTGGAAACTACAGCAATGCACTGCAAGCAGCTTCAGCTAGAGGCCACGAGCAGATAGTCAGAACGTTGCTTAATGCGGGCGCCGAGGTCAACGCGCAGGGTGGAGACTACGGCAATGCACTGCAAGCAGCTTCAGCTAGAGGCCACGAGCAGATAGTTAGAACGTTGCTCGACGCGGGCGCTGAGGTCAACGCGCAGGGTGGAGACTACGGCAGCGCACTGCAGGCAGCCTCTGTCACAGGCCACAAGCAGATAGTCAAGATGCTGCTCGACGCGGGCGCCGAGGTCGACGCGCAGGGCGGACACTACGGCAGCGCACTGCAAGCAGCTTCTATTGGGGGCCACGAGCAGATAGTCAGAACGTTGCTTAATGCGGGCGCCGAGGTCAACGCGCAGGGTGGAGACTACGGCAATGCACTGCAAGCAGCTTCTATTGGGGGCCACGAGCAGATAGTCAGAACGTTGCTTAATGCGGGCGCCGAGGTCAACGCGCAGGGTGGAGACTACGGCAACGCACTGCAAGCAGCTTCAGCTAGAGGCCACGAGCAGATAGTTAGAACGTTGCTCGACGCGGGCGCTGAGGTCAACGCGCAGGGTGGACGCTACGACAACGCACTGTCTGCTGCTGCGTATGGAGGGCATGAAGAAGTACTTGAACTTCTAATCTCGAATTGTAGCATTTCACGGGTCCAGGATTACTATGGCCGGACATTGCTCTGGTGGGCTGCGGCTGGCGGCAATATCGCTACCGTGGAAATACTCATGAACCAGCACGATATCGACTCTCAAGAAGCGGACAGGTATGGGCGAAAACCATCCTGGATAGCTAGAAAGAAAGGATATGGCGCAGTTGCAATACTCCTCGACGGATGGGGTGAGGAAACTGATAAGGAACAGGAAGCGTCACCCAGGGTCAGCAATAACCCGCCGCGTCTTGAATGCGATGTCTGTACATCGAGCATTCCAACAATTGCACGTCATTACCATTGCAATCTCTGCAATAGTGGAGACTGGGATGTGTGTGAAGACTGCAGGAATATGGGAGCTACTTGCATGGAAGCAGCTCACACTCTAGTTGAACGTACGATGCTCGATGGGACTTGGGTTGATGTCACCAGTTGAACTTGACTTGACGTAACTAGGTCGTAGCGAGTCTATAGTCGTATCAAGGGATCGTAACTCAAAGCCGCTAGCATGCGCTGTACCTGTTTACAACTAGTGCCAGGTAGGCATAGCGCTGGATTCATTACAGTAGAATACAAACAGCTCGCAGACGCGCTAATACACACTGATGTATGCCAAGATACAATAGTGTAGCCCGCTAGACTAGACCTATCTGTAGGGATCACACACTTCACGCTGCGGAGGCCCCGGCATGCACACGACCGCGATAAAGCGATCTCCAAAGAATCGAGAAACGATCTTCCTTAGACGTGCTTTATCTCTAGCCCTCTAATATTCAAGAAGATTCCTCAAACGGCGAATAAACAGGGGGTATCGTTAAAGGGTTGTTCGACAACGCGGATAGGAGGATCAACAGCATAATCAACACTGTAGAGCTCGCGATCGGAGCCTGCCACGCTGCAGCAGGAACAGGTCATCAAAATCTCGTATAGACAAAAGCTCTAATACGCCGGAGTATCGAAGGCGCCGGAGCTCCGAACCATCAATCTGTCTCGGGACATGGTATGTCTCTTTACCTTAGATACCTACCATCACCACTGATGCACTCGATCGCGGTGACTAATGTGCGCTTGACACGTGCACCTCTATAGTCTCGCATGTCATCCTTACCTACCAAGACTTTAACCGTACCTAGCATAGATAGCATAACGCCAGTCTCGTCCATGTTGTATACATTCTCCTTGGAGATGGCTGGGTCTTTCAGCACCTTTCCGATCACTTTAAACTAATGTGTTATCTTCTAGTAAGTGTTCTTCTCGTAACAGCTCTAGTCCAGCGCCTTGACTCTTCTCGCTTGCGTCTCTAGATGGCGTTTCTCAAAGCCCCGAGTCCAGTTCTTGCCAGGCGGCTTCAGCGGACGGTCGGCCTCGGATCGCTGGCGGGTGACGCAGAAAGCTAAGAAGCGTATGTACTTGATGCGTACAGGCTGTCCCAGATAAGACAACTGTAAGAGAAAACGGACGAGAGCGTCCTCCTCGTACGGAGCGAGGTACTGCTGGCTTTGGGCCTTTTCTTCGATCGAGCGACGACCGCGCGCGCGATGGTGCAGGGTCGTATGAGGGACTCCGCTACGATCTGCACGAGCACGGTATGAGTCGGATAAGCTAGGAGGAACGGGTTGCGCTAGAGCACGGCTGGCCTTGTCCATCGTGGCGGACTTGTTCGCGATGGGAAAAGAAGGACGAGGAACGTCCAGGCAAACTCCAAACAGGGAACAGAGCATCCTCATGCACAACCACTGTGTACGCGCGTGGCCGGAGATGCTTCCAGAAAGCCAGCAGCATGCGCCGCATCTATTTTGAGAGGCATACGCGACTGGCATAGCGCCGTATCCTTTACGATAAGTTACAGCAGGCAATAAGAACGCTAATGCAGGTTCATGCATGCTAAGCGATGTTAGCGTATCCCGCCAGCTCGGGCTCGTTCCCTGAGATCTCCTGCTTCGCACTACGGGGCTGCCGGCATGCTCGCTCCCACATCGGAGCGATCTCACGGGCCTGGGAAGTCGAGGTTCCTACGTCGCGCTCTCCGCACAACCCACCGAGCGCTTGAGCGGTCCTTGAAGTCACTAATAGACAGGGGGGTATCGCTAACGACTTGATTAACGACAGTAACGAAACGATTAATAGCACGGCTAACAAAACAGCAATTTATGCCGGATGCTAATATGCTTAAAGAGCAACAACTATACAATTATCGTAGATTAGTAGCAGCTTTATAAGCCTATAGATGGGAGGCGCCGAAGCTCCGAATCGCTAACCTGTCTCGCGACGTAGTGTGTCTCTTCACCTAGGGACGCACCTTAGCTCGGTAGCTATAGCCCCTCCCATCTTTAGTTCCGCGGGCACGACTATGAAGTTTAGTGTGTGGTCTATGTTCGTCCTCGCACTTCTATAATGTCGATCCAAGCGTGCCGGGACGCCCGGTGTAACGGGACGCTTTCTCTTCCGGACCCCCGGATTGCCCCTAGTGTTCTCGAATACAAACAAGTGCAATGTACATCTATTCTGCAGTTCTCGTTCTTCTAGCACGTTAGTCTCCGATGCCGAACAGCACGCTATTAACCGTGCTGTCGATCATTTTGTTAGTGTTGTCTTCCGACTCTCCTCCGTGACTCCCCTGTCCGTTTGCGACAGTAACGTCCATCCCGTATGACCGAGAAACCCGGCTCACCGAGATGCGTTTGCTACCCAGGCTTCTATCTCCTATGCCCGCAAGCTTGTCAGGCTGTACTTAGCGTAGAACTTCCCTTTACACATCTCTCTTTCGCTAGGCCGCGTGCAGCACAAAAAATACCATCGTCTTTGCCGTGCTATCGACTGTTTTACGCGCGACATCTGCAGCCTCTCCTGCCTCGCACCCCTGCATTGCTACAGCTAAGGTGCGTCCCTAGGTGAGGAGACACACCGTGTCGCGAGACAAGTTTGCACTTCGGACCTTCGGCGCTACCTTATTTGCAGGTTTGTAAAGCTGTTATTAGTCTATCAAAACTAAATGGTGATTACTCCTTACGATAATTATCGTCCGATATGAATCGTGGCTATGTTGGCCCTGCTATTGATCGGTTCGTTACCGTCGTCAATCAACTCGTCAACTACACCCCCCTGTCCACTGGCGATTTTAAGGACTACTTCAGCGCTCGGAGGGTTGTAGAGACAGCGCGACGAAGGAAGATCAATTGTCTAGGCTCGAGAGATCACTCCGACGTGGGAGCGAGCATGCCGGCAGCCCCGTAGTGCGAAGCAGGAGATCTTAGGGAACGAACCCGAGCTGGCGGGATACGCTAACGTCGCTTCGCATGCATGAGACTGCATTAGCGTTCTCATCGCCTGCTGTAACTTATCGTAAAGAATACAGCGCTATGCCAGTCGCGTATGCCTCTCAAAGTAGGCCTAGCGGATGTGCATGAGGGTGCCCTGGCCTTTGCTTTAGTTCGAAGTTGCGATTGGGTAAGCGATGGCTGTGTCAACATGGCTTTTAGCATGATGCACATCCATAGTATTTCGTTGTCCGCGTTAGAGTTGCTTGCTGGCGTTAGACAAACGCGTTGCTTAAGATGTTCTGGATTGTTAACGCTATTGTCGCTGCGTTGCGTTCCGAGCCCTACGATAGTTAGCGGCGCAGGTTCTCTGTAGCCAGTGTGTCCTTGCACGAAATAGCACGCGATACACAGACATCCCAACATCCTCTTACAGGAAACAACGACCTATAACTCGCGCTTTCTACACTATTAGACCGCGTCTTTAGGCAATGACTGCTTCTCGGTTTGCAGCACGGTGGCTGTCGCGCGATCATGCGCTGTCAGCCTTGCCCAGCCAGCCTCACGTCACGGCGCGTGCGGGCTGCGCCTCCTGCCCTGGGTGTAGGACACGCAGCCTGACCCAACAAGACAGTCTACCTCACCTCTACCTTAGCAAATCGTTACTTAGCATTCAAAACGACCCGATAGCTACGATCTCCACGTCCTACGCGAGCCAGCCGCCGCGCGCCGTCGATTCCGTCAGCTTGCATTGAAGCTCCAAGACTTCCTTCTACCGCTCGCGCGTACGGACAGATACACAGCCCCGATGCGGTTGCTATACACTACTGGCGAGGGGAGGCTCGAATGGACCGATGACTTGATCGGAGACAAGATTCCCTCATATGCGATCCTGTCGCACACCTGGGGTGGGCAGGAGGCAACCTTTAAGGACCTTCGGCACTATAGCAGTATGGAGGAAGTTGATGCGAAAGTCAAGGAGGGCTATCAAAAGATATTCTTCTGCGCTCAGCAAGCTAAGCGCGATGGGCTGGATTATTTTTGGGTAGACACCTGCTGCATCGACAAGACGAACAGCCAAGAACTTCAGGAAGCGATCAACTCTATGTTCCGCTGGTATCAGAACGCAAAGAAGTGCTACGTATACCTTCCAGACGTTGAGTGCAACACCCCTGATGCGGATAGTGAATCAAGCCGGAGGTGGAAGCCGGCCTTCAGGAAGAGCAAGTGGTTCACTAGAGGCTGGACGCTTCAGGAACTGCTTGCTCCTGCATCGGTGGCGTTCTATTCGAAAGAGGGAGATCTGCTGGGGGACAAGCAGTCTTTGAGAGACACTATTCACGAAATCACAGGTATACCTATCGAGGCTTTGTCAGGGAAAGAAGTGTCCAACTTTAGCGTAGCTGAGCGGTTCTCTTGGGCGCATAACCGCCAGACGACACGCCCAGAAGATGGAGCTTATTGCCTGCTAGGCATATTCGGCATTCATCTACCCCTGATCTACAGCGAGGGCAAAGAGAACGCGCTGAAGCGATTGGAAAAAGAGATACGAGAGTCTTTCGACCAAGTCGCGAGTATTCCTGTTGACAACACCGATGCTCGCAGCCGAAACCAGGAGGAGAGGCTTGGCAAAATCTTCAGCTGGCTTTCGGCTCCTGACCCGTCCACCAACTACCACAAAGCGCACAAGCAGCGGCAGGCTAAGACAGGTCTCTGGCTGCTAGAAAGCACAAAGTTCACAGACTGGAAGAGAAGAGCAGCGTCGCGACTGTGGCTGTACGGGATCCCAGGATGTGGAAAGACCATCCTGAGCTCTACTGTTGTTGAGAATCTGCTGCAATACTGCCATGATGACACTAACATGGTGACGGCGTACTTTTACTTCAACTTCAACGATGCACAGAAACAAGATCCGGAGCTCATGCTGCGCTCGCTGCTCTGCCAGCTTGTGCAGCGGTCGGTCGTGATACCTAAGGGCGTTGATGCGTTGTTCTCATCTTGCGAGAATGGGCAACGGAAGCCATCGTCACATGCGCTTTTACAAGTAATTAAGGAAGCGGCGCAAGAGTTCACGCACGTGTACGTTGTTCTCGATGCTCTAGATGAGTGTGCGCAGCGCTCGGAGCTGATGGACATGCTCGAAGCAGTGGCTGAGTGGCAGCTTGACAATCTGCATCTGCTCATGACTAGCCGGAAAGAGCGGGATATCGAGCGCTCCTTAGAGGAATACATCAGGGAGGAGGACGCTGTATGTCTTCAAAGGGACGTAGTGGACCAAGACATACAGCGATACGTCCAACAAAGGCTGCGTGTCGACAGGGGCTTAGCGAAATGGAACAAGGACGCCGCTGTTAGGCAAGAGGTTGAGGCTGCACTAATGCACGGAGCTTGTGGGATGTACGTGCTTCTACCCAGTTCTTCACAGAGCTAGAGCTGACGATAGCGTAGGTTCCGGTGGGCTGTATGCCAGCTAGACACACTAGGAAAGTGCTGCAATCGAGCGATGCTGCGCAAATCTCTTGCCACTTTGCCGCGGACACTAGACCAGACATACGACCGCATTCTTACCGCGATAAGCGAGGAATATGCTGAGTATGCGATGCGCATTCTGCAGTGGCTGGCGTTCTCTGCGCGGCCGCTGTCCGTCGAAGAGGTCGCCGAAGTCGTCGCCATCGACGTAGCGCGCGACCCAGCGTTCGACCGTGATGAGGTGCTAGAAGACCCGCTAGAAGCGCTAAACATCTGCTCTAGTCTAGTCACTATCACAACGAACGAAGTGGACAGAAGACCAGGGTCTGCTCAACGGATCGTTGCTCTGGCACACTACTCAGTGCAGGAGTACCTTGTGTCAGACAGGATCAGGCAAGGGTCAGCAAAGCAGTACAGCATGCAAGAGGCCGCATGTCAGAGCGCAATAACAAGAGGTTCTTTAAAGTACCTAATTCAGCTCCAGCAACCATTAGAAAGAGAGACACTACAGGTGTTTGCACTTGCGGGGTACTCAGCAGAATTCTGGAGTAGCCACCTTCGAAAGACAAGGGACGAGGGAGAACAAGCCAGTCAGCTGGCGGCGACTTTGATGGCCAAGGAAGAGCCTGCATATCTCAATTGGATCTGGTTGCATGATCCAGACCGCCCATGGGAGAAACTAAAACTGGAAAAAAATCTCGATAGTATACCTATGCCACTTTACTATGCAGCTCTGTTAGGCTTAAGTACGACTACAAGACTGCTGCTTGACGCGGGCGCCGAGGTCAACGCGCAGGGTGGACGCTACGGCAACGCACTGCAGGCAGCTTCAGAAGGAGGCCACGAGCAGATAGTCAAGATGCTGCTCGACGCGGGTGCCGACGTTAACGCGCAGGATAGAGACTATAGCAACGCACTGCAGGCAGCTTCAGCTGGAGGTCACAAGCAGGTAGTCAAGATGCTGCTCGATAAGGGCGCCGAGGTTAACGCGCAGGGTGGAGACTATAGCAACGCACTGCAGGCAGCTTCAGCTGGAGGTCACAAGCAGGTAGTCAAGATGCTGCTCGATAAGGGCGCCGATGTTAACGCGCAGGGTGGAGACTACAGCAACGCACTATATGTAGCTTCAGAAGGAGGCCACGAGCAGGTAGTCAAGATGCTGCTCGATAAGGGCGCCGAGGTTAACGCGCAGGGTGGAGAC